CACACTCCTCACCTGCCTGAGGCAACAACATCATGTCCCAAATCATCAAGATTCAGGCTTGTGGCTGAGGTAAGTGTGGTTCTACAAAGGCTAAAATATTTAAGAATAAACTTTATCTTGACAAGCTGGACTGCTACATACCTATGCTTTGGCAGGGGTATGCCAGGTAGATTCATCTGCCCTTTATGTTGGACACCTTCATTTACTCTGGTGTTCATTCAGAAAGTGTGGTTGCCTTAGAAACCACAAAAGCACAGAATAATTATAAGATAAACCTAACTGATAGAATCACTCATCAGTGGCTCAGATGTACGTAGCACTTCTGTAAATCCCAAAAGATATATAGAGAGCCGGAGGGGGGCGGGTGGCAGAGGCTCATTTCCTCACTGAAGGATGCGGTACAGAGAGGTGGCCGATTAGCCCGTTGGAAATGACAGATTGCTGGATCACGTTACGTGTCGCCCTAGCCTTAGCCTGGGAAAAGCCCAGGTTTGGCAGGTTAAGCCTATGGGAAAGGAGGAGACAGATGCTGGGGGAGCTCGGAGCAGGACATTGTCCCCCGAGTCTGAATCTCAGCACACCTCTGGAAGGAAGAACTGCCATGGGCATTTGGCAGCTTCCAGATGTTCCTTGGGGAAGAGGCTCCCTCTGGCTGCTTCTGCTGGAGGCATTTCCCCATCATTCCCATCCATGGGAAGTGATTCATTTCACCGGTATAAATCTCCCCACTCCCCTTGCCCCCCTTTTTCCGCCCTTGGTGCAGCAGTACTGAAACTTGTCTGCACCGAGGTGATGATTTCCTACCTGAGGGGCATAAAGTGAGCTCCCGAATGGAATGTGATCTCTTCCAGCTAGTAAAAGTTTTATAACTATGGATAAAAATACACACAATGAAGAAAAAAATAAAATAAAAAGCAAGGCACTCAGCTGGTGTAAATCAGGGCTGCCTAGCTCCAGCAGAGCTTGCCTCAGGCAGGGGTGGAAATGTGGAAGTATTTGCAGTATATGGATGGCAGGTTTATTAGAAGTCATTAAAACATAACTTTTACTCAAAAACAAAAGTTCAAAAAACTAAATATCACAGGTCCATCCTCTGTTAAGGTCTTTTCAGTGAATCAATATAAGCATTGGAGTAGAGGCTGGGCACTAGGTTTACTTGGGTATACTAAAAACAGCCATTCATAACCACACTAGTTAATCCCTGGTTTAGCATGTATAAATGTAATTTTTTAAATTATTATTATTTATTACTAGCGTCTGGTTCCCTTTCCCATGCTGCTACTTGTGCACTTGTTTTTGGCTGCCAGAATGCATTTCTTGCAGGCAAGACTGGCATAACCTTGGGGGCAAGAGAGGAAAACGGGTCCCTACAGCAACAAGCCCAAGTTTACACTCAACTTTATAGCTTGCCAGGTGTGTGTTATTGCTCTGATAGCTCCAGATGCAGCTGTATCATCTGAATGGCAAGCAGAGGCACAGCTGAAGGAGACCAGTGATGCCTCCAGGAGTTTTGGGAGAGTCACCTCTGCCCCATTGACAGACAGGCTGCAGGAAAGCCTGGCCTGAAGCACAGTGGAGTGGAGAGCTGCACCCTCTATTTTGGTGGGTGCTGAGGTCACTGCATTTAGGTCCAATTAAGCACATCATGAACGTGTGCCTTTGCTGCTCTTATTTAAGATTTACTTCAGTAACTCAAAATATATTTATTTCCAAGGCCCATCTTTAGCATATTTTTAACCCCACTGGACAACTTGTTTGGATAAGGGCTGCAGAGCTGGACTGTACAGTCAATCAGGACCTCTCCAATGAATTTATCATGCTGATTTTTCCCTTTGAGGGAAATTCCCCCTTTTCTTTTGCTTGTGTCACATTTAGCAACACTGCAAGCCACTACTCTAAGTCTTGTCTTTAATTTTTTTTTATAAGCAACATATCAGTCAAGACTGGTGCACCTTAACAAACAAGGGAGATTTTATATATAAAATATTTTCCACTCCCACCCACTTTTGATAGGTCAGGATGAATTATTTAAGCCACATTTTTAGGGGTATTTCTCTGGATTCAGTTCTTGGGACCTGCATGTTCACCTGATCTGCATCCCAAGATGTGCAAAATCCCACCAGTTTAAGTTGTTTCTCCAGCATGTTCTGTGCTCACCCAACCAGAGGACAAATCTAATATAACCCATGGTGGCAGAACGGTGACTTGCCCATGGCTTGAAGTCTGCCCATGAAGAAGAGAGGACTTTCCTCAAGGATGTGCTAGCTACACCACAGGGGTAGGTTTGTTGAGGGCAGCTTTCACAGGCCCCCAGAGCAGCGATCCCAATGAGCCCTTCTGATTTAAAGGAGGACAAAATCCCCAAATCCTGTCTACTAAAGGCAAAAACATGCTTGGCCATTATGAACACTAAGCCTTAAATACAAAAATATCAAAGCAGAGTCTATTAAGGAACTATATGAAAAAAAAAGTTGAGCAAATTCCAATAGAGCTTCATCTAAAACTAACAAAGCAGTTGGCCCTTTTCTTTGATCTTATCCACCTCTCCCACAAAAAAAGGTAAACAGGATATAAAGACTCAACCATGCCTGGCAGGAGAGAAGAAAAACAAAGCAGTAAACAAACCACAGATCACCAAGCTGTTCAGTCCAACACACAATGTTGCTCGATGTGGGGTGTAGACCCTCCCCCTGTTTGCAGGGCAGCCTCTCCACCAAGAGGCTCCACGATCCCAAAGCAATTCCCAAACTCTCCTATACTCATTTCATACTCCTTGAAGGCAGAGATGAGGAAATAGCCACATATTTTCACACTGGATCTTAAGGAATAACTTTCCTCAAGTACAACTAGGCACAGAAAGACATAAAAAGTCCTCAGGGAAGGTCTGGAGAGCAGAAAAATACTCCCTAGAATGGAGATGGCCTGCAGGGATAAAAGGTGTCATGAATCCACTTATATACAAGGCCTTTCTGCCAATCAGATAGTGTCCATGGGTGCAGTTTGCTCCTTTGGGGGAATCTGATTTCACACGTGAGATCACTGGATTTCCTTTTTCCTCACTACTGACAGTATCTGGAGATCAAAGCCCCACCAAGAGCTGGTAATGTATTCTCACTTTGATGCCCGAATGCAAACACAGCAAGGGGAGAATACATCCTTTATGCAACACTTCCCATGTTTTGCTGGCTGCTCATACTGCTGGCAAATAGAAACAGATTTAAAGGCCAGATTTAGTAAAGTTTCTCTCTTTGGCTTTTCCTTTGGTATTATGATGCTTTTCTGAGGGGGTTTGAGGGATCCATTCCTCTGCCCCTTCCCCCTTTTCTGCTTCACTCAGACCTTTCCCAAACCTGGTAATATATAACTCCATTCATTGTGATGCTAACGAGTTCTATTTAGCTGTATTTAACTGGATATCATGACTTCACGTGATGACCTTTCACTCCTGGGAAGTAGTTTTAAATTTGATCCACAGCAAAGGAAAATCCTTCCAATTCATTGGCTGTGAAAGGTCACAAGTGAAATGTGTTCTGATGGTATCTACTCGCAGTTCAGTTCTCAGTATAACTGAGCACCAAACTGGTCTGAATCACCTTTTGTCTTGCCAGCCCAAGAACCAGGCACCTCAGGAAAGCTGTGTGGAAGAAACAGCCAAGCATCTGGCTATATCACAGGTATAGAAAGGCCTTGGGGAGGATAGGACCCTGTTGAACTCAAAGCAGGACTTTGGGAAGACAAAGCATGAAAATCCCACCCATCTTGAACTGGAATTTTGACCTTCCAATTAAAGGAGATTTTTAAAGATATTTTAAGAAATTAAAAGCAAGTTATATTCAGCATCAGATACTAGCTCACAAAAAAAAATCTCATAAATGCATCAGACAGTGGTACAGTAGAATGCACTTGCAAATGCTGTTTCCAGGACAGAAACTGCTAGAGAAAAAAACACCCACAAAACTAAAACTATATGACTAGTGCAGTATAAACCTCCACCGGCACCTCTCTTCCCCTTTGCCAGCAAGTTGCTGCAAACCATTCAGCTTGGGATTTCAAATTAAAACACTGCAATGAAAGTTAGTCTTGCCCTTTCACCCTTCTTTATGACCATACTGAAGCATGAAGGCTTGTTTGTCTGTTCTTGCAGAAAATACTCCACACTGTGATAGGGTGTACCCTAGACAGGGCTGGAACAAGAGCTGTCTTGTTCATTTTGCAATATTTAATATCAGTGCTACAGTATGAACTAGAGGTACCAATAAAAGAAAGAAAGAAAAAAAGAAAGAAAGGCTCATGCAGTAACATACATCCTGCTAAAAAATTCAATTTAAATAAAGGGAAAAAAACCAGAAGAAAAACAAAAAGCACATGCCATCAGTTTGTGTTTACAGCAAGAATAAGGGAGACAGATGGCTGAAGAGACTTGCTTTATCACACAGGAAGCTTGCAACAAAGCTCAGATCCTAACATGTATCCCTCCAGGCTGAGTCATTCTTCAGAGTCAGAACAGGTGTATTAATATAACAATCACTAGAACTTAAAAAAAGAGCAAAAGCCACATTGCAATGGGAAAGCACACTGCCAGGAAAGCAGCAGCTTTTGTGGTTGCGCTGGTCAGATTTGTACAGCTGCAAACCTACTACCAAAGTATGAAATTATATTATCTGTGTATCTACAACATTGAGGTGTGCCATGACGGCAGTCTGATGAGCCCAAGGTGGATCAGAGAGGGACTGCTCCAATCTGCAGCTTTAGCAGAGCACCAGAGGAATGAGAAAGCACTGCCTGTATTTCCTACCTTGACGCAGCCACTGCTGAGGAAAAGGAAGAAGACTGCTCCAGGAGCTCTCAGGAATCCCAAGTTTGGTCAAGTTTCCACTTTTTAAGATACAAAAAAAAGCAATACACACACACACACACACACACACACACACACACACACACACACACACACACACACACACACACACACACACCAAGAGCTGATCCAAATGTAGCCCTACCTTTGTACAGCAGTCAGAGTGAAACAGTGCAAAGAGAGCACAGAACCCCAGACCTTAAAGTCTCTGACCTTGCAGAAGAAATGTATGAGGAGATGAGTTAATAAAACACACCTGCAATAACTTCTTTTGGAAACGTGCCTCAGCTGAGATACCTGGCTTCACTCCCAACACTTGCAAACAATTCCTGAATGTCACGGGCTGCTGTTTAACAGACAGTGCAGTTTCTAGGGGGTCCTAAGAAATAGTGAACTGACAGATTTTTGAAACACTGTAATATCTTATAAAGCTGTCAAAGCAGTTTTCCTTATTGCTATTTATAACATGCTCCTATGTTAAGTCCTTGTATGACAGATTTTAGCCAGCAGCTAATTTTTGAAGTGAAGTGATAAACTTCAGTGACAGGACTCCAACGCAGCTTTAATTACAGGGTTGTAAGTAAGTACAGGTAAACTATTAAAATATACTGAGAGATTTTTCACCATTAAAATGTCACTAACATTGTCACTTGGCCATTGACACCACGCTTTTATGCCACTGATCCGATACCTTTTCCTGATAAAAAGTTCAAAAGTAAAAGCATCCCAATGAATTCTTATCTGGTTTTTCTACCTCCATTCCCCTCTGATTTTAAACAGAGAGGTAAGTTAATTGAGTTTCGTTAAAGCACAGCTTTTCCCTCCAAGTCAAAACACAAAATACAATTGTGGCTCTCCTCACAAAACTGCCTCTCTACCAGTTTATATGGAAATGGCCAATGACAAGATGGTTTGTGCACTGAACTAAGCTGCAAGCAGTTCTTGCCTTTTGACCTGTTCTGAGTTTCTTCTTGTAAATATATGGAGTTTTTTCATTCCTTCATTGCTCCAGCTCAGACCTTTCCGATGGATCTCATCTTTCCTCTGGAATTTCTTTTCATTCTGTTCTTCCACAGAAAATCCTAATCCTTGCTTTGCTTCTGGCCTTCAGCCTTTGCAGAGGAATGCCTAGTCAGACTTTTGCTTACAGATTCAGAAATGGTCAGATGGTTAATTGTAAGGAGAAAAGAAAAAGGTGTGTTTTTTGTTGTCTTTATGGAAATATTAATAATTCCTAAATATAGATTTTGCTTTCCTCAGTCAAGTACTTCATTCTGCTTAAAATCCAAAAGCTCAAGTATAGTAACTGATGGATAAAGAGTGTGTTGAATTCTTTGGGTATGTCTGATCTGCAGAGCAGTGTAGAGGGACCTGAGCTAGCATCAAGTAGCCACCACATCAGCTGGTACCTCAGGTAGGTCCCCTGCATGTCTCTCACAGAGGCATCATCACGGCCATATTTCCTGCTGTCACTTGGCCATCAGCAGGCCCTGAAGGTCAAACTTAGCAGTAAAGTCCCGAGCTTTGACCTCATCCTTGTTCGGTGCTCAGCACCTCAACTCCCATTGACTTCAAGGGGGATTGAAGGAGCTGAGTGCCTCAGAGGGCTCAGCAGTATCGTGGGTAGATGTTTCTTGAAGCACTGGCAAATTCACTGAAGCCTCACATTTTTCTGGCAAATAAATGCCAATGGAGGAAGTTACAGCTGCCTGGGGGCTTTCTTCAGTGAAAATACTCAACTTGGGAAAAAGAAAAATCTACTGTAAGTTTTGCATTCATAAACTGATGTTCCCCTTTGCCTTCCTCTCTTGCCCTCTCCGACTTTTGCCCTCCTTCCTTGGCTGCCAAGAAAGTGCCCCTTTGTGTGTGAAACTGCCCAATGGTTCACAGAAGTTAACTAGAAAAGACACATTCAGTCACTTTCTGTCAAAATGCCTTGACACTCTCCTTTTTGCCCAAAAGACCCTTTCGCTTTGGAAAGGCCCTCATGGAACAGCTCCCCCCTTCTCCCTCTTGAACTTACTCTGCAGCAACAATGCAAAATAAATAAGTAAAAGAGGCTCCCCTCTCTCCCCTGCCCCAAGCCTTGGCTTTTTTGTTGCTGTTGCAATCTCCACTATGAATTTTCTCCAGGGCACTTGCAAAGTCTGGCTGAGTGCAAAATGCTGCTAGTTGTCATTATTTTCACCGAATCTGTATTCCTCTTTCATGTTGCCACTTCTGCCGTGGCTTTGTTTTTGCCATGGCTGGGTTTCTTTGACTGCAGGAAGGGATCCTGCCATGCTATGAGGCTCTCTGGGTCCACGTGTGCATTACAAGAAGGGGATCGTGTCCCATGTGCCTGTACGAGGACAGGGTAACACACGCTGCTCTCCATCCAGGAGAGCACTGGGAATGCAAGCAGCGCAATTCAGAGTGAAAGGGAATGGTTTTTCTTTGCCTCTGCAAACAAACACGTAGCAGACATTACTTCTAAATCAATCCAAGAAATTATTTCTCAATCAAAATGGCATTGAAAGTACAAACTGTGTCATTTTGCAGGATTTCAAAGTCCTTTGGATGCCCATCTTTAGTCAAAAAGGTACTAAACGTTTGGCACGACTCCCATTAAACTGAGGTGTGTTAAGACAACCACTACAACTGTTTTAAGTGAACCTTCGCTTTCATGCTGTATAAAACTTTCTGAGACTGACTGGGGAATAAGACGTGCGATGGGTGAAACAACAGATGTTAACCCAAATCCAGTGTTAACGGACAAATTTAGTTCTGGTTTCCCTTTCAAGAGAAATCGAGGGGCTCTATCCCATGTACATCATCGGCTTAGAAATTACAGGAGGTTTTACGCAAGGATGGGCTCTTTGGAATTTGTTGCTATGTATTTTTAATACTGTCAATAAACTACTTCCTTGAGACACAGAAGGGCAATAATGGGAGCTGTTAACAAAGTGTGAAAAGAAACGGGCAAGCAAAGGTTAATCACATGGCTGTCCACTAATGACCTCTCCAGCCCCGAGTTTAAACCCTCCGCTACTTGTAAAGACCAATCACGTGAATAATTTCCTGTCTGAGGTAGTCTTTATGGTTAAGAATAAAAGCTGAGCTTATTGTGAAAAGAAAGTGCTCAGCAGGGGACAAGGTTATTATTTTTAAGCTGATCTAAACACCTGGGTTTCTCAGTAGACCCTATTAAACTTCCTCCATTATGTCTAAATATTTCAATCATTCCTACCACAGTAGTAAATTAGTGTATTACTGCTTAAAGCAGATAAGCCGTAGCGATGGGGACATCCTAAGCTGATGCTGCTCACCCACCCTGAAGAGGGACCAAAGCAGACTGGAATCACGGCCGTTTCTTCCCCACAAATAAAGCACTGAGGCCTGCTATTGAGTAGCAGTGCCCGCATATCATCGCCTTCTAGTGTACTGGGGTGTGAGAGTTTATTATTATTTATTCCTACCGCTAATGGGACCTTGGCATGGATGATGACTAGGGCATGGGAAGCGGGAAGCGTCCCCTGGAAGCGGGAGGCTTTTGGGACAGGGATGTCCCTGAAGCTGTAGGTGTTGGGAAAGCAGATGGAAAAGCTTCCATCCTCAGCCTCACTTGTATGTCAGGATAACTGCATTTACATCACTTCTTTCAGGATCAACTTGCCACACTGAGCAAAATTCTTGCAGGTTCTTGCTTTTCTCAGCCTCACCACAAGACTCTCATCTGGTGTATCGAAATAAAAGAGGTCAGCAGGAGTTGCAGAAACACCATGAAATTTAACTCTGGTCAACATAAAGTGCCCAGCCTACAGTCTCCAAAGGGGATGATATTACGCTGTTTTAACCTGTTTAAAATGCTGCCCAGGGACTGCCTGATCCTGCACGGATGGTGGCATCGCTTTTTCTACATAATAAATGGAGTACTTGAGTTTTCCAAGCGAGTGCAAGAGAGGAACTCTTCTGTTCTGTAAACAACTGTGTGTCCAGTTTCCATGCACGGATACCCAATTTGTGCATGCAACTGTAGTTATTGTGCATTCAAATGGGGCACACCACTAGTCACGGGCCTGGGCTTCTTGCCAGTTTAAAAGTCAGCCCTTCTGTATGTAGAAAGAAAAAGCAGTATCCAATAGAAACAGTACTCTGCATGCACTCAGCGCTCTTATTCAAGGCACTCAGAACAATGCCTAACTGTTAATCTTCCCAACACTGCCGTGAGGCAGGGAATATTTTATCTGCATTTTACAGTCGGAGGAAACTGAGGTTAAGTGACTTGCCCAAGGTCAAAAGACAGATTTAATGACCAGTTCAGGATCTGTCCATGAGAATATGCTGCCCTGACACCAGGCTACTGTAGCTCGGGCTGGATGAGGAGTAAATGTGTCCTTCCTGCAATGTCCAGGCAGTGCCGTTTGCTAAAGGTCTAATCCAAGGAAGTTCAAACAAAAATCTGAGGTGGTGCCAAGATTAGGGAAATATCTCCTCTGTGGTCAAGCGCTTTTTGTGTTGTAAATGCAGAGGCTGAAATTTCCAGAGATGTGGATGCCCAATTTCCGCTAACATTAATAAGCTGATGTGTCCAAATCCTGTAGGCAGCTTTGAAAGCCTGTTTGTGCTTTCCCTCTTCCTACTATTCAAGCATAGAATAAGGTCAGGGCTTTCCCATACCCTCTCCCTTCTCTGCCGGTGGAAAAATTCTGGCCATACCTTCACTTTCTCGGCACTGAATGGATAATGTCACTGGGGATTGATTGATCTAATACCCACAAAAGGCCAGAGGAGAGATTCCCTTGGTTGCCACAGATACTGGATCAGGACCTTATCTTTTTATGGCATCCATATGACTATTTTAATATCTGAACATCTCATGTTTTTTAATATATTCCACTTCCTAAAGCAGCCACGAAATAGAGAGGTAGCATTAAATGCTTAATCCCCATTTTGCAGATGATGAAGTGGGGCAGATAGGAGCCAAACTCATTTTAGTCTGAACTGGTCAAACAGACTCTTGTCATAGCCAAGAGGAAGAGATAAGCACCTGCAGACAGAAATTGAGACACCATCCTGGCATGGAGTGGGCTGCTATGGAGAGGATGATCAGCCCTTTGGGAAGTGCCTGGCTGTTCACACTGATCGCAAAGGGAGCCCCGATGGCTTGGTAATCTCCATCCCTACAAGACAGCTAATGCTAGGG